AAAGGCTACTGTTTGAAGACTTTAAGATATTGTTGTACAGACTTTAGAACTTGCAGAATACCAAAGTTGTGCAGTCTTTTGTTATTTTTACAGTTTGTGCCTAATTATATTGAAATGCGTGTATTCCATATGAGAATGCATTGCCTGTAATAACCCTGGTTTTGGGGAGAGGGTCTTGGTACATCCTCCATGAAAGGGAAGTTCATAGCAGTTCTCTGTTAAACAAAAGCACAGGTGCATAGCCCAAGCAGTTCTGCTTTGTGGGATTTATTTTTTCTACATGAGCACATGTGGGAAGGGAGTGCTTAATGCACAAGAGTACTCATTGCAGCTGGATTCTGATAGCAAAGAAATGAGGAAATTTCGCTGTCCCCCAGTTGGGATTGTTAAATGAATCATGATACATCATACGTTGCAATAAAAGGACAGCGGAAGATCTTTACTGTAATGGAATGTTCTTCAGGATATAAGAAGTTTAAAAAGCAAAGTAATAAACCGTGTATAGTGTGCTGCCAGGAAGCCTGTGTATGTGTCTGAGGATTATAGGAGTATAATCTGTCTCCAGAAAGACACAGAAGAATTGATAACAGTGTTTGCCTATTGGGAGGGGAGCTGAATGCCTTGGGAAACAGGGATAGGAGAGAGATGACTTTCTGTCATATATAACCATGGAATAAAAGAAAATACAAGGAGAGGAAGGTACCCGTAATAGATGGCATATTTTTTTCAGTAGACTTCATTTATTCCACACATATTTGCTGTCTACTGTGTCCTCAACCCTGTGGTAAAAAAACTAGAGGGGCTGCCTGGGTGACTCAGGTCATGATCTCATGGTTGGTGGGTTTGAGCACTGCATCAGGCTCTGTGCTGACAGAGCAGAGCCTGCTTGGGATTCTCTCTCTCCCTTCTCTCTGGCCTCCCTTGTACACACTCTCTCTCTCAAATAATTTTTTTTTAATAGTGAAAAAAAACTAGACAGATCCCAGCCCTCCTGAGGGCGTTGGAGGATAGTGTGTGGCAGACAAATAATTAAATAGAGTATATTAGAAAGTCTTAAGTACCATGAAGAAAACTCAAGCTAGAATAGGGATGGCGAACACTAGGAGGTGGGACGGGGATTAGGCATTTTTTGATTAAGGTGGCCTGTGAGCAAATCTCAGAAGGTGAAAAAGCAAGTCATGGGGCTACAGGAGTGGAGCCCTTTGGGCAGAGGCATGTTGTAAAGGTGCCTAAGTCACTGCTGGAGTGGAGTGAACAAGGGGTGCACTGCTGAAGGGTTTTGAGCAGAGCAGTGACCAGATCGGATTTTTGTTCTGAAGGATCACTCTGGCCCCAGTGCTGAAAATAGACTGTGGTGGGGGCAGAGGTGGGAGCAGGGGAGCCAGCTGGCAGGCCACAGCAGTAATCTGGTGAGAGATGGCGGCGACGGTGGAGGGCATCAGAAGTGACTGCGTTCTGAGTATGCTAAGGTCAAGATGGACTGGATGTGGGTGAGGAAGAGGGGAGCAAGGAGGACATCAGGGTTTGGGCCTGTGCCCCTGCGTGGATGGAGCCAGTGGGGAAGGCTATGGGGGGAGCAGCAACAGGTGGGAGACGGGGCTGGGAAGTCAGGAGCTCAGACTGGGACGTGCCTGTTGGACGGCTAGACGGAGCTGTCATCTGGACAGGTAGATGTGCGATGGGGCTGAGAAGCCGTTCCAGACTTTTGGTGAGGTGTGTTTCTGGAGAGAGGTCTGCAAGGAGCACTAGTTGCACACTACTCCCTTTTAAGAGGAAGGCAGCATCCCGGTACTCTGCTCTTTGTTCAGGTGACCGCTCTTGAGCGAGTGGTGGTCAGGAGTGGCCGTAAACACAGGACACTGCCTCCCTGCCAGGTGTGGTTCCCAGCTCCTCATATGTAGCTTATTTAATAATCCTCCCGGTGAGTCCTTGGGATGAGTCCCATTATTGCCCCCATGTTTATAAATGAAGAAACTGAGGGATGCGGCCTAGAGATCTTGCCAGAGGTTTCATAGCTAGTACCTGGCAGAGGTGGGATTTGCAAGCAGGCAGGCTGCCTAGTCTGGGCCACACCAGGTGCCACACCCGCTGCTACCTCTGCAGCCTGACATTCTCCAGGTTCAGTGAGTGTCTGTCCATGTTGTTAAATTGCCTGTTTAATAAAGCATTAACACTTACGTAAAGTTCCTACAAGTATATGTAATATAAAGACATAAGTGAATTGTATGTTTTCATAGCTTAATGTTGCTCATTGTTTAGGTCAATAGAATTTTAAAGGTTGCCAAACCCAACTTTGTGGTCATGAAGTTATTGGCAGGAGGACACAAAAAGGAGTCTAAGGTAAGTACATTGTGGGGAAAATAAATGGGTGTTAAATTATTGTAATACCTTTTTTAAATAAGATGAATAAATATAATGAATATTATTACAAAAAGAATTAAAACATTCAAAAATCATCCCTTTCAAAAAGAGGTTCACTGGCAGAAAATAACCTTCACTTACCGTTTTGCTTTCAAACGGAGAGATTTTATGATCTTGGTTTTTTTTTTTTAATAGTTTGTCAAGTTGGTTTTCATATAACACCCAGTGCTCATCCCAACAAGTGTCCTCCTCCATGCCCATCTCCCTCTTCCCCCCCACCCCCATCAGCCCTCAGTTTGTTCTCAGCATTCAAGAGTTTCTCATGGTTTGCCTCCCTCCCTCTCCCCTATTTTTCTCCCCTTCTTCTCCCCCACGGTCCTCCATTAAGTTCCTCCTATACGTGCAAACATATGGTATCTGTCCTCTGCCTGACTTATTTCACTCAGCATAACACCCTCAAGTTCCATCCATGTTGCTACACATGGCCAGATTTCATTCTTTCTCATTGCCATGGAATATTCCATTGTATAGATACAGTGGACTTGGTTTCTAAAGTCTGCCCTTCCATACCCCTTCCTCCCTTGTGTAAATTACCAAATGACTTGGAGTAAAACAGAAAATGTGTGAAAGCAAATTTATTGGGAGAGAGAGACTTAAAGACTTGGGCTTTAGAGATGATGAAGTGTGTGAAGTGTGTAAACCTCCCCGGCTGGTGGTGGTGCACTGTCGGTGCCTATCGCTGCTGGGCACTTGCTGGTGCACGTACCCATTCATTCCCCGTGCTGCTTGCTGTACAGCTTCCTTCTGCCTTGCTGTACTACATACATTTCACTACTTAATACTGTCTGTTGGCCCAGGAACTAAAAAATGCACTCAGGACTCTTTCCCATAATTCAAGCTAATCGTTATCCTTCCAGTTTCCTTTCCAATTTGTCATAAAACCAGTTTTTTATCTCTTGTGCTGCCTTACCTCTAAAATGGTGAGAAACTCTAAAAAACTGTACTGTCCCAATATTTGTAAATACATTATTTTACTCTCTGACTTTCTTTACAGGTTCCTCCTGAATTTGATTTCTCTGCTCACAAATATTTTCCTGTTGTGAAACTTGTTTGAGAGAGACTGAAAAGGTCATAAAGGGGTAGAATCTACTTTAAGATTCTAAAAGAATCCATCCGTCAGTCTCACCATGTAACTGAAGTGAAATGGATTTCTTGGATAACAACCTATTATAAGAAATACTTTTAATTTGACAGCCTTATACAACGTGAATGAAAACTGCTGTTTTAAAGTGGTTTGTTATGTTCCATGGATGAAACTGGTCTTACTGAATGCATCGATGAACGTTATATGGTTTTATTACAGATTTAATCATAAATCATTTTTTATGAATGAGTGAAAATAGTGTTTGTAAAGGTCAATAAATTTCTTGACAAAAAAATGCACCATTGGAAATGAAAAACAACAGCACTTTGTTGATGCATGTTAAGAACTGAAGGTGTTTACACTTAAGTCATTCAAACAGATTATTCAAAAGAAGTTTCAAAACAAGGGATTTAGCAAACACTAACTAATGTGGTTTTGGCAAAATACATTTAAAAGGGAATGGGGAGGGAGTTCTAAACTATATAGGGAGACGGAATTACACGGGGATTGTGGTTTTGTGTGTCATGACGTCTTAAATTATATACCTGTAAGAATACAGAGGTTTTTAAAAATATCCCTTAACTGTCCTTTTGGCACTTTTAAAACATGCGTAATGTTTGCTAGTGACATTATTCAAAAGGTAGGAATGTATAGATGATGTGTAGGGTTAGGTTTGAATGTGGCATACTCCTTTTTGGTTACTAGTAAATACTCAGCTTAAACCATGAAATAATTTCAAGTGGGGATCGTTCCAGGATTTGCTGGCTTGGGAAACAGACTTGCATCCAGCTGTACCTGCAGGCGCCCAGCGCCAGAGACCCCACCCTTCCTTTGCTGCACTTTCCTCTTCCTTTCTCATGCTGTCGTGGATTTTTATTCTACTTTAGATGGCGTAATTTGCCTCAACTGGTGAGGACCTTGGTTTACAAAACTCGTGTGAAGTTTGTACGTAATTTAAAGAGGAGAATATGTCAAGTCCTTTAACGTTCCCGGACACGTCTTTGTTTCACAGGCACACCAACAAGGATGGAGACATTTGACTTTAGCTTTCGAAGTGCATGTGAGAATACCAACTTTGAGAAAGCCGTCAATATATACATTATCAGAATTTTATAAGCCGTTTTTTAAGGGACAGTGGCTTAGTACACTTTGTACTGCTTTCTGAGAAATAATACAAATATTTACACAATTAAGCCATTTTCCCAACTTTGACACTAATGAACATTTTCAAAGCCTAAGCTAACAGTGTGAAAAAATATAACCTAGTTAATGGAATCTTTTTGTGTTTTTTCTAAAATTCATTTCAGAGACAAGCATTAGAATTGTTAAGTGTCCTATGAACTATTGATTATTTATAATTAATCTCTTGGTGGGAGTAGACTGATCCCTTGGACCTTAAACTTGAATTCCCACCTCAGGTTCTACTGTGAATAGATAACCAGTTTAAACAATCCTGCTAGTTACTGACCTAGTTATGGAATGACAGCACACGGACTTAACAGGTATTGATTTATTTCTCAAATTCCATCACATGAAAGTACATTAAGTATGTGCAGTGCTTACAGTATTCAGGAAATCTGAGTCTTGCGTAGGGAATCTGCGGTCTCATCTGCAGAAAAAAGATGAATCTTCACACTCCTGTCTACACACCATGTTGAGGATATAGAGGAAGGTGTGAATTTTAAAGTTCACACCTATTAAGAATGGGAATAGCTGATTTCATTTTGGTTGAAACCAAAAAAACCAAAGTGTAGGGGATTTGAGATCTACTTGCTTATTACACAGGTTTTTGTTTAAAATGAATCAAGCCATGACACCTCTATGAATTGTTGCCTTGGCCTATGTGCCTGAGTGATGTGGAGAAGGCCAGGAGTAATAAAGCACAACTGGAGAAATAGCTCACAGGACACACCTCCTGAATGAGTGGCCTTCGGTGCCTCTGCACATGAAGATGGAATCACTGTGCTTGTTTTATTTATATTCCCATCCATCTCAGTCCACAAAAGGTTTAATGAGGCCAATCACCACCCTTAAGCCAGTTTGCACGCTGATTCTTTCAGGATCCAGTAGGGCATGAAGGGAGAACAAAGCAGTTGGACTGAGTCTTATTTCTTAGAACTCTGCACACTGATTGAACACGAAATGAAGAGACTTTATTAATAAAAAATCAACACTATTAACCCTATGGCTAAGACACAAAGGGAAGTTGGACAAGGACTTAGATAAAATCTTACAAAGCTATTTTTAATACCCTTCTTTGCCTTTTCCAGGTGTAAAAGTTTAATCTTCGTGATTAAGTAAAAAGATATCCTACATGAGTAACATTCACACGGAGATCGTAACCTGACTGCAAACCAGGTCCTGCCTTCAGGGGCACGGGGCATCCAGACCACCTGAGGGGCTGGCGTCCCGCTCGCCAGCTGCCTGGCCCGCAAGGCTCTAACTTCTCTGGGTCCCTGTTTCCTAATAAGCACCACTACCCACTTGCCACTTAGAAGGCTGAGAGTCATGAGTGTGACCCTGCCAGTCATTCGTAAGTGGCAAGAACCTATTTACCAGAAATACTGAGAAGCAGCTCAGTGTGAATTAGGATTAGTCATTTTCAAACTAACATTAACTTGATTTTTACATCACTTTTTAAAATAGTCATCTACCACAAGCCAAACGTATAGACTGCCAAAAACAACTGCTGCATTTCTCTGGCCTTTGTAAACTTTCCGCCTGTGTAACAACTGTGTACACCCTTAAGCATCAGCTCCCTGTCCTCCAATAGTGGTGAATGGGCAGCTTGTCCACAGCAAACACGCCACCGTGTGCTCTGCTGCCCTCCCCGCTCTGCCACAGCCCAGGAGCACCTCTGCTTTGGCCCCTGTAGTGGCAAAAGTCGACCCGCTGGTGGCTCTTGGTGGTATGCACTGCTTACAGAAGATTTTGCTCTGCCCACACATACTAAGCAAAGAACGAACACATGTTCAAATTACAAGTCGCTTAGAAGCATTTTTGTACATGAATGACAAAGGTGATACAAGTGGTCTTTTAAAAAATTCTCACAAAATGCTTTTGTCTACAGACTTGTTTAAAACTGTTGTAGTGATGTTTGTGTTAGGTTTTGTGCCCTAGACCACTGAGTGTCCGAACCAGAGGTGAGCACAGTAGAATATAAACCAGTAATCATTCAATGCTGACCTGGGAGAACAGAAATCCTGGGCTGTGCCTGGCTGCTCAGCGCAGCATGTGACAGAGAATTCTCAAGGGTGGTGAGTATTCTTGGTGTCAGAAAACAGACTTCCTACAGGCTCCAGTTGTTTTCAGCAAAGTTACATTCCAGAACTGCCACTGTCACCATACTTGCAGAACTTGGGTTCTATTTTTGGTCTTGATCTTCTCATACCTATCAGCTGACAAACTGACACCACGGTACACACTGCAAAAATACCCCCCAAAATCCATCTAACAGACCATTATCTTCCTACATAAAGTACATATTAAAATTCCACAATAATCATCTTTAGATGTATATTTTACTTAGTACATTTCACAGTATTCAGCCCCTCATAAATATTTTGTAGTGATCTCTGTTCGATCCTGACATGAAGTACAGGATTCCAGTTGATTCAGAGTGTGTGATTCCTCTTTTCACGCTGGTCAAGTGAATTTATCATGTCTCCTTTCTGATTTTCAGCATTAAGAACTAAAAAAGAAAAGAAAAAACACCTAATATTCTAATATTAAAACATTTAGGGAAACCAGCGGGGCAGACTGCATTTGACCTAAGTGTCTGGAAACTGCCTCATCAAGAGGACAGCATCTCCCACAGCAGTTTTATGGGCCGTTGCATGGACAGGACAGGCACAGGCAAGCAGAGAGACTACAGGTATGACCAACAAGGTGCCATGAAGTAAAGCTAAAACAGAATAAAAACTCCCTATTTAAAATAGCGAAGTAAAGTGGACAATAGAAGATGCTCTAATATTTTTGATACAATCACAACCCTTGTGTGCTGCGCGCATGCCTGTTTGTGCACCTCTGAGAGGAAGCATGACACAGGCACTGTAGCACACCCTCTTCCAGGTCAGCTCTACAGGGAGCACGACACACACGGCCACTGCAGCCCACGCCTCCCTCCCCCCCCCCCCCCCCCCCCCCCCCCCCCCCCCCCCCCCCCCCCCCCCCCCCCCCCCCCCCCCCCGCCAGCAATACCGCAAAGCCTTCCCTTTACAGAGCTGAAGCCTCCCTGTGCTTCTACCATCCTTGCTCTATCCCTTGACACATGAAGGACATGAAAAGAAAGACCTCACAAAATCTAAAACCACCACGTGCTTGCTTTGGAAGCACATAATACAAAATCTAAAACCACCATGCTGATTTACGACTACCACCCATTAAATGGTGATTACGTGAATTAAATGGTGGCCTTAATACTGTCTTTTAAATTCTCTATTAAAGCTGGAACGAATGTCTTTTTATGACCTCCCTGGAGGAAGCAGGGTCTTAAACTGTTTTAATGATAGAATCTTTGACAAGTCTTCAACTTAAAAGAGCTGACAGAGCATTTTTCTCTGCCTCTGTCCTCGCTTTGTTAAAGCCTCATACAAGGTGAAATTCTTGGGACACCGGAGTGTAGGGGATGAAAGAGCCCAAAGCTTTACTGCAAAGCCTGACATTCAGGACACTACTGATTGGAAAGGATGGTGAAAGAGGTGTAAGGCAGTAACCACATCAGAAAATATGTTCTCCAAGGACTGAGGTGCACAAATGAATGCAATCAATGATGAGGAACAGAAAAATTGACTTTGTATTTGCTTAAAATTCTGACTTGCTAATATGTTCATGTTCTGCACGAAGAGATCATCCAAAACAGTCTATGAAAATAATTTAAAAATCAAGTTAGGACTCCCATTTCTAGAAACCTCAAACAACTCTGCCAAATGTAGTCACTGTCATGAAAAGATATTTTAAAGAAGCACTGTTGAACCAAACCTAAACTGGGGGACTTTCTACCAAATAACTGGCCAGAACACTTCAAAAACTATCAATTTTGTAAATGACGAAAACAAATGGTTTGGAATTAAAGGACCCTAAGGAGGAATGACCATAAATGCAGTGTTTAATCCTGGACCAGAAAAGTGGTATTAGTTGGACAATTCACTACATCAGAATAATAGTATTGTGTCAATATTAATGTCCTCATTATAAGATGTTAACATTAGGGGAACCTGGGTGAAGGGTATATGGAAATACTATATTAAATTATTTTTAAATTAAAAAGTTAAATTTTAAATAAGATACTAAAATGCATTGTCTATAATGGCAATAAAAGAAAGAATCTGGGGTGCCTGGGTGGCCCAGTCGGTTAAGCATTTGACTCTTGATTTCAGCTCAGGTTGTAAACTCGTGGTCATGAGATTGAGCTCTGCCTATGACCCCATGCTGAGTGTGGAGCCTACTTGGGATTCTCTGTCTCTCTGTCCCTCTCACTCTCTCTCAACATAAGTAAATGTTAAAAAAAGAAGGATCAGAGAGGCCAAAAATTAAGTAAAAATTACAGTTCCTGAAGGTAATAAGCATCAAAGCTAGCCCTGCCCTGAGGACTTCTGAAGTCTGAAGACCCCAGGCTTCTCCCTTCACAGCTTCAAAAGATGCAGAAGGACAAGGAATAAGTAGAACAATTAGAAAAGTTAAAAGCAAAGCATGAATTAAAGAAAAGAGAAGCTATAGCTGAAGGAAAAGTCAGTGAACTATAAGCTGTGTCTGAGAAAATCATTCTGAATGCAGAGTAGAGAGGCAGAAATGGGTAATATGGCTGGGTGGCTCAGTCAGTTAAGTATCTGATTTTGGCTCAGGTCATGATTTCATGGTTCATGGGTTCAAGCCCCGTATCAGGCTCTGTGCTGACAGCTCAGAGCCTTGAGCCTGCTTCACAATCTGCCTCCCTCTCTCTACCCCTCCACCACTCGTGCTCTCTCAATCAAAAATAAGTAAACATTAAAATAAATTTTAAAAAAAGAAATGGGTACTATGAAAAAGGGGGTAATTAATAGGAAAAGAACAGTAAGGTCTAACTTTTTTTTTTTTTTTTTATTTCTAGGAGAGAGAGAGAGAGACAGACAGCGTGAGCAGGGGAGGGTCAGAGAGAGAGGGAATCACAGACTGAAACAGGCTCCAGGCTCCGAGCTGTCAGTCAGCACAGAGCCCGACACGGGGCTCGAACCCACGAACCGCGAGATCATGACCTAAGCGAAAGTCGGACACTTAACCGACTAAGCCACCCAGGTGCCCCTCTAACATTTTTTTTTTTAATATGATAGATTTCTTTTTACTTTACATTTTTTTTTAAAAAGTTTATTTTGAGAGAGAGAGGGCACGGGAGTGGCACAGACATGGAAAGAAAATCCCAAGCAGGCTCTGCACTATCAGCGCCAAGCCCGATGCACTGTTCAATCTCACAAACTGTGAGATCATGACCTGAGCCAAAATCCAAGAGCTGGATGCTTAACTGACTGAGCCACCCAGCTGCCCCAAGATCTAACATTTCTGATCTGAGCCCAAGAAGGAATCAAAATGGGAAGAAGCATTATTCAAAGAGATCTTGGCTGAGATTTTCCAGAAGGACTAGCTGTTATACTTAGAACGGGCTGGTACAGTGTGAGTCAGCAGAGATACCAATGGAACACAAAGTCTAAAGAGTAGATCTGAATATATATGCAAATCTAGTTGGTAAAAGTGGCACCTCAAATCACTGGCCTTGAGATGGTGTCAAGTTAAGGGCCAACTGAACAGCCCTTAGGACAAAGAAAATTGGACCCAATCTTGCGCCACACACTTGAATACATTTGATATTAATCAAATGAATCAGAGATCTAAATGTAAAATACAAAAACACACGAGAGGTTTTTCTCACAAGTTAATGATCACTGTTTCACTGTCTCTTTCTGCATGTCCATCGTGTTTTGTTCCTAATAAAAACCGAGCAAGGACCCTTACTCAGGGCTCTTGTCTTCTCCTGGACATTAGCCCCTCTCATATTCAATTCTGTGTCCTCTCTTGCAGGACAAGAGAGAATTCCAGACTCAAAGACTGTGGCAACTAGAAAGGTCAGAATAGGGGATAAGTGTAGGGGAGGGGGGAGGACATAAAAGTCTTTAAATCATTCACATGGCAAAAGACACTATATATAAAACCAAAAATCAAACTGGGAATAAGTATTTGCAACTGACATCACAGATAAAAGGCAATCTCCCTAACATATAAAAGAACCCTTAAAAATTAAGAAAGGAAACACCAAGAATCTGATAGAAAAATAAATGTTAAAGAAAGGATCCATGAAAGTACATGATACTAAAACAGGAGTGTATGAGGTAGGAGGGATCCTTCAAGAACAGGAGGTAATAGATGTGAGGGGTCACAGGATCAGGAAAGCCACCAGCAGACAGGGTGTTCAATGGATGCTAAAGACACACCATTTCAAAGCATCACCCTTAAGATGACCTCTCAGAGACAAAGGAAAGATGGACCTTTGTGATGTAGAGACCTGGTGGGCAGTGCCTTCACCAAGCCATCGACCTGCCGGTACAAGCCTCTCAGTGTGAAGCATGCAGCTACAAATGTCCAACCGGAATCCACTCACAAGTAAATGGACAAATCCAGAATCTGATACATCCCACTGGCCTACACCCTGAAAAGTGCCACGATGAACAGCTGCTCGAAGTACTGTGCAGACAGTAAGGCCTTTTGACTGCTGCTACAGAGTGACCAAGTGGTGACCTAGCATTCTGTCAGGAACCCCCTAGATGTCATGAAATCAAATGTTTCAGTCGATACCACCTCCCCCGAACACACAGACTTTCTGAAAGGTCTTCATCCTGGGCTTCTGTGCCATCCCCTCCCTCCACTGCCCCATGTTTAAAGAAAGTCTCCTTCGAATGATGGATTACTTACAACAGTAGTGTTGGGACAGGATTGTTTAATCACTGCCAAAGTGAAGGACCACAAGGGGAAATGCAAGGCCAGCCCCCGGCCTCCGCCATACTTCTTACCATTCAGATTTCTGTCATTCCCTGCAAGGGCTGCCTGCTTGTCTGTTTCCGACTCTGCCTCATTTTCATCCATGTTGTAGTCCTCCTCCCCTCCCAGCTTCTGCTGGTTTCTCCCTGCAAACGAGCAAAGGCACAGAGCATACAACCCACATCATTTCTCTTTCAAGGCCATGGGAGCACCCAGGCCCAGGAACCAGGGTTTTCCCAGTCACAGCTTAACGGTCTGGTCTTTCTGCGACCTCTCAGCGGGTGGGAGGTGGGGGGAACGAGACCTGTGTGCCCGCTGCCCGTACAAACAGCAGGTGCGAGGTCTCTACTTACGTTCTGCCCAACTAAACTCTGAACCCATGTAAACCATGGCCCTCAACACAGGACTATACTCAGGACTGGAACTGAGGAAACCAGAGAATTAAACCCACATCCAGGTTTTCTAAAGAGATAATCCACTCAAGGGTAAAGGAAGGCTCCACTGTTGCTGGAAACAAGAGGTTTCTAGTTAGTGATGGCACCTCCTTAGAAGGGCTGGTAGCTGGGAGCCGAAGAATGACGTTTTCCATCCTGCCTACGCAATTCAACAGTTCATCACCACACTCAGGCCTGCAGAGAACCCCAGAAGACCAGGACGAAATCCATTCAAGAGTCATATTCATAAGGTTTCACATGAATGTCTCATATGCACATATAGGCAGGTAAACAAAAAAATTTTTAAAGCTTGTCTGGGAGACCTGGCTCTGGTCGTTTCCCTGCACTCACACGCCTTTGCGCCCTGCTGCTTTCTTCTACAATCAGGAGACCTCAACTGCCCCAGGACGATGTGTATCCTGCAGGCCCTGCGGGGCCTCGAACCTCAACCTTCAGCGGTTACGCTCCGTGGCCTGTCTGAAACCTACTGCCCCTGGGTCAGCTCCCTGACTTCCCTTTTCTTTTTAATTCATCAACTGCAACCTCATGAGAACACACCCTTGAGCAAGAGAAACTTGAGTACAAATTAGATCCGTACAGGATCAGGGTAATTTACACAAATCGGCACATTCTCCACTCCTGTTAGTGGGGTGTCCCAGAGCACAGGTCTCTTCTCTTCCTACGTGTTCCTGGCTTGGCTGGGACTGAAGTCTTCCACACCTTTTTGGAACCCAAATACCTCCCAGGATCCTGTGTTGATCTCCCATTCCCACACTTTCCTGTGCCTTTAAAGAAAAGTCGACCAAACCACAGAGGTAGGATTCACAGGTCACTTCGCTGCAATGCCCACATTGGCACAAAACCCCCGCTACCCAGTCATCCCTCCCTCCACTCCCCAAGCACCAGTGGCGACACCATACCATGAGAGGCTGTGGAGACGCAGGCCAGGCGCATGGCCCAGCACAGGTTATGTACACTAGATGCCTAGCACCCACCTCAGGCCTTCCACTGAGACGCCCCCTGCCGACTCCCCATGGATCTTCTTTACCACACGGCTCTTCCCTCCGGCCTCCCACTTGGTAAGATACTCAGTGAATGAAAGAGAACCAGCAGATGGCAAACTGCCATTCAGGAAGCTTCCTAGGGGCCCCTCCAGAGTCAGGGGAAGTGGTGGAAAGGAGTCTGCGGGCACCACTCACGCACCTTCGTTGTCAGCATCCTGCTCCTCCTCCTCGCGCCCGTTGGGGATGACCAGCTGGTCCTGCTCCAGGTCCTCGGCAACCTGATTCTCTGGGCTCCCCAGCAAGGCCGCTGGCACCCGTGGGGTGTGCCCCACTGCCTCCACTTCCCCGGTGCCTCTTCCAGCTGCAGGCCTGTCGTCCCCGGCTGCCTGCTCTGGGCCCGGCTCCAGTGGCAGCCCCGGGCCGTCCCGCTTAAGAGCCTCCTCACCAACTGCCTGAATCTCGTTGGTCTCCTCTGTGCACAGAACACCGTTTGCTGCAACTTACCAGCATTTATTCTCATTGAAACAAAAACATGACCCCTCATACCCAAAGCCTTCCCAGGGGTTGTGGCTGGGGGAGCGACTGGGTAATTCACCCCGTGACTCCGTAAAGACTCCAGGTGCCTCTCTACCCGCAGCTCATCTTCAGACCCATGAGGAAGACAGAAATGCTTTAGGGAAAAAATCTGGACTCTGGTACCTTGATCACAGGGCAACTGACAAGCTGAGTACGTGGGACAAGTACGTGGGGAGCAGGCCGTGCGGGCCACCAAGGAGTCATTCCACAGGGACACAGCAGCCCCCGGTTCCCAGTGACAGCTACCCAGGACTCAGCCACCTCCCTGTAATCCCACAGTCCCGCTGACGTCCCCTCTTTACACAGCTGCCAAAGATCAAGGCACATGCGTTTACAGGCAGGAGAGGTAAGACAGGAAGGCCCCAATGCCAGGTGCCAGCAGAGATGGTCATCTTCCTCCTGCAGCTCAAACCCAGCTCACCAACTGCCTCCAGCAGAGACACTCTGTCCTGAGGCCCCGTGCACACATACTTCCTGGACATGACCTGCCACCACATGGCTCTGAAGAGGGCTTATGTGTATAATTACCAAGCTTCACTTACCTTTCTCACCTTGTCTCTTCAAATCCAAAGCCGCCTCAGAACTGGGGGCTGGTGTCTGGGGCTCGCCATTGCTGGGCACGTTGCCTTTCACTGGTGGCACCTCTGCCTGGGGCAGGTCTGCCTCCTGTGGCCTTGGCTGAGGCTCATTGGGGCCTCGGAGCTGAAACAGGAGTACAGGATGGCCAGGGGCTGCATGACCTTAAACCTCACAACAATCACAGGCAAAGAAGTGGTTGTCCTTCTGATAGTCAAAACACCTAAACCTTGAGAAATGCCATGATATATAAACCCCAATCACGCCTGACCACCTGGCATAAATTCAAAGCTCTGAGGTTAAGATGTTCCAGAAAGTACTTTCAATACTGTATTAACAAGTAGACAAAAAATTAACAAGGGCAAGGAAGCCCCCAACAGGGTGAACCAAGTATACCAGACTGACTGCTAGAGAACACTAGCCTGACCAGAGCAAACCTCATTCTTTAAGCGCACATGGAACATTCTCCAGGAGAAACAGATGAGATTCTTAGGCAATGAAACAATCCTCAATGAATATGAAATGATTGGAGGGCATACTTTGTATGATGTAATCACAACGGAATGAAACTATCAATGATGATAAAATTAAACAAATTCACAGGTATGTAGAAATGAGGCAACATACTCCTGATTAACCAATGGATCAAACAAATAACAATAAGTGGAAATGAGACAAAAATGAAAAACAAATATACAACATACCACACTTATGGAAGGCTGCTAGAGCAGTGCTTGGGAGGAAAATTTACATACCTATATTAAGAAACAAAAGGAAGACCTCAAAACAATAATCTACTCTTCCACCTTAAAATACTGGAAAAAGAAGAGCAAACTGAACCTAAAACAAGGAAGGATATAATAAAGGTCAGAACAGAAATTAATGAAATATAGAAAGAAAACATGTGAAATCAAAGTTAATTCTTTGAAAAGATGAACAAAATTGAGAAGCCTTTAGCCAGATTAACCAAAAAAAAGAAAAATTCAAATTACTAAAATCAAAAAGGATAACACTACCGACCTTACACAGATAAAAATATTAGAAAGGAATACTGTGAACAACTGCATGTCAACTTTGAGAACTTAGATAACATCAGACAAGTTTCTAGAACAATACAAACTATCAAAACTGACTCAAGAAATAAGAAATGTGAGTGAACTTACAAGACATTGAATTAATAATTTAAAAACTTCCCCCAAAGAAAAGCCCAAGCCCAGATGACTTCACTAGTGAATTCCACCAAACATTTAAAGAATCAATACCAGATCTTCACAAACTTTTCCAAAAAACAAGAGAAAGAAATACTCCCCAACTCATTCTATGAACCAAATATTACCTGATACCAAAACCAAAGACAAGAAAACTATAGACCAATATCTGTTATGAATACAGACACCAAAATCCTTAACAAAATACTGGCAAAATCAAATCTAGCAATTTATAAAAGGATTAAATACCATGACCAAGTGGGGTAAATCCTATGAATGCACGGTTAAACATCCAAAAATCAGTGACTATATCACTAGCATAAAGGACAAAAAACACATGATCATCTCAATAAATGCAAAAATATTCTGACAAAAATCCAATGCCTCTTCTGCATAAAAACACTCAACAAATGAGGAACAGAAAGGAACTTACTCAGTTTGATAAAGTCCACCTATGAAAACACACAGCTAACATCAAACTTAATGATAAAAACCGAAAGCTTTCCCTCCATGATCAAGAACAAAGATGTCTGCCCTTCCCCCTCTGGTTTACACTGTATGGAGATTTTAGCCAGGGCAACTAGGCAATAAAAAGAAAGAAAAGGCATCCAACTAGGAAGGAAAATGTATAACTATCTCTTTTTTGATAACATAATATTGTACACAGAAAATCTAAAGAAATCACACACCAAAAACTAATATTAGAATAAAGAATTTCAGTAAGGTTGCAATAAAATATATATGTATATATCAATATATAAAATCAAATTATATTTCTATATACTAGCAATGAATAAGACAATAAAATTAAAACAATTCTTTTTATAACAGCATAAAGGATACAAATACACTAAACAAAAAGCATAAGACTTCCATTAACTACAAAACACTGTTTGATGGAGATTTTTAAAGGATTTAAATAAAGAGAAAGTCATCCCACATTCACGGAACAAAGACTTAATGTTAAGATGGCAATACTTCCAAACTGATCTACAGAGTCATTGTAATCGCAGTCAAAATCTCACCCAACTCTGTTGAGGAAATTGACAAGCAGATCCTAAAATTCATATGGAAAGTCAACCGACACAGAATAGCCAAAATAGTCTTTAAAAAACCCAATGTTGGATGATTCACCACTTCCAACATCAAAGCTTACTACAAAGCTACAGTAATCAAGGCAGTCTGCTATTGATATAAGGGACAAACAGACCAATGGAACAGAACTGAGAGTCACAAATAAACCCTCATATTTACCGTAAATTGATTTTTGACAAGGTGCCATGGCAATTCGGTGGAAGAAAGAATAGTTTTTTTCAAAAAAGGTGACAAGATGGGGTGCCCGGGTGGCTTAGTCGGTTAAGCGTCCGACTTTCGCTCAGGTCATGATCTTGCGGTTCGTGGGTTCGAGCCCCGCGTCGGGCTCTGTGCTGACTGCCAGCTCTGAGCCTGGAGCCTGTTTCAGAGTCTGTCACTCCCTCTCTCTCTGACCCTCCCCTGCTCATGCTGTCTCTCTCTCTCCTAGAAATTAAAAAAAAAAAAAAAAAAAAAAAAAGGTGCCAAGAGACAACGGGATATCGAGAGGCAAAAGAATAAATTCGGAACCCTACCTCACACCATATACAAAAAATTAACTCAACATGGATCACAGGACTAAATGTAGGAGATAAGAGCTATAAAACTCTTATAAGAAATTATAAATCTTCATGACCTTAGGGTAGGCAGAGTGTTTAAAAATATGGCACCAAAGGAACAAGCAACAGAATAACAAACTGGACTTCACCAAAGCTAAAAACTTTTATGTTTCAATGAACACCATGAAAAAAGTGAAAAAACTCACAAAATGGGAAAAAATATTTGCAAATCATATACCCTGTATCTTTATTTATATGTATATATATACATATATATATGTGTATATATATATGTGTGTGTGTATATATATATGTGTATATATATATGTGTGTGTGTATATATATATGTGTATATATATATGTGTGTGTGTATATATATATGTGTATATATATATATATATATAGCTTCTGTCAGCACAGAGCCCACTTTGGATCCTCTGTCTCCCTCTATCTCTGCTCCTCCCCCGCTGGGGTGTGTGCACGCATGCTCTCTCTCTTTTTCAAAATATAAACATTTAAAAGAAAAAACTCAATTTAAAAATGGGCAAAAGCTCTAAACAGACATTTCTCCAAGAAAGATATACAATGGCCAATAAAACAAGAAAAGATGCTCAACATTAGTTATGGAAATGCAAATACAAACCACAATGAGACAGGACGCCACACCCACGGGGATGGCTATAATGGCAAAGACAAATATAGGGCACCTGGGTGGCTCAGCCGGTTAAGCATCCGACTTCGGCTCAGGTCATGATCTCATGGTTCATGGGTTCGAGCCCTGTGTCAGGCTCTGTGCTGACAGCTAGCTCAGAGCCTGGAGCCTGTTTCAGATTCTGTGTCTTCCTCTCTCTATGACCCTCCCCTGCTCATGCTGTCTCTCTCTCTCAGAAATAAATGAAACATTAAACAAATTTTTTAAAAAAAAGACAAATAATAACCAGAGTTGGCAAGGATGTGGAGAAATCAGAACCCTCAAATTGCTGGTGAAAATGTAAGAGTGTGATTGCTTTTTGAAAATAGTCTGGCAGTTTGTCATTAAACACAGTTACCATATGACCCAGCAATTCCACTCCTGGGTATATACCTAAGAGAAAAGAAAACTTACGTCCACACAAAAATGTCTACATGAATGTTCACAGCCGCATTACTCATAATAAGCCAAAAACTAGAAATAATCCAAATCCCTATCATATCAACTGACAGATGAATCAGCAAAGTGGGGCACACACACACAATATTATTCAGCCATAAATAGGAATGAAGTACTCACACACGCAAACACACGGACGAACCTTGAAAGCATTAGGCTAACGGAAAGGATCTAGACACAAAAGGCCAAAAATTTTATGATTTATGAAATGTCCAGATAAGGCAAATCTATAGAGACAGAAAGTAGATTAAATGGTTTTCTAGGAATGAGTGGGGAGAGCTAATGATTATGGGTTTTATTCAGGGGTAATGAAAATGTTCTAAAATAGACTGTGATGGTCACACTTTTGAATATACTAAAAACCAATGAATTATGACTAGTACATGGGTGAACTGTACGGAATGAGAATAATCTCTCAGTAAAACTACTATATTTAAAGCTAACAAAGATTTCCTGAAGGCTTCAAGCAGCAGCTTCACGGGCCAAGCATCTCACACCTGCCAGCCTGGGCTCTCAGCCCCACCGCTGACCAGCTGATGCAGGGGCCGCAGTATTTAACCATCTCCACCAGCCTCGGGGCCTTCAAACCAGAACAACCCCAACTGTCTCCCAGGGAAACTGTGGGCTTAAAATGAAGTAACCTTGGTAAAGCCCTGATCACAGGGCCGGGGCCAGAGCCCAGCATACCCAGTCAGACTCCCAGTGTCCAGGGGCCAGGCTGGGGTGTCTCAGGGAACCAAATCCACTAGGGGCAGCAGAGGTGAGAGCAAACCAGACAGCAGAGAAGGGAACAGAACACCTGAACTGAGGGAAGGAATGTCTTTCGGAAATCCTGCACAGAGAAAACCCAGGATTACCTGCTGGCCTTGGTCCTTTTTTTCATTCAGGTCCCTGGAAGCGACAGCTTCATTTCCCTTTTTGGTGACTTCCTCTATTCGCTCCTCACACTGCTCCTTCACCTCTTTCATCTGATTGATGCACTGGCTCCTTTGGTGAAAGAAAGCAAGAGAAAAGACAAATATTTAGGGATGTGTCTATACACCAAGTGCTTCCTGCCATGATCATGGAATCCACTGTGTCAATAAGAGACACAGCTCATTGTCTTCCTGCTTCCAGCTCTGTATCTCAAGAGGGTACATAAGGCAGAGCAACATGTGTGTTTCAGTTATTAAATGGCAAGAAACCTAGTTGACTGAAACTTACTAAAACTGTGTCACATTGTTCTAAAACAGGTGAATTTTACTGGTTACAAAAAGTGTTTTTAAATATACAATGTGTGTTGCAGCGCCTGGTTGGCTCAGCTGGTTGGGTGTCCGACTCTTGATTTCAGTTCATGTCATGATTCCAGGGTCATGGCATCAAGTCCCACACTGGGCTCCATGTTGAGTGTGGAGCCTGCTTGGGATATCTTCATTCATTCATATTCATTCATTCTCTCTCTCTCTCTGCCCCTCTCCCCAACTCATGCTCTCTCTAAAATAAAAAAAGGTAAAATTAAAATATATATATACAATCTGAGGTATATATTTGGTCTTGTCCCCACCTATTAGCTCAGAGCGCCTAAAAGCCCTTGGAATGGGAGAGTCTTCCGTTAGTCAAAGGGAGTCCCTTTGGACCAGATCTCAGATTATGCTAACTTTCTGGTTCATGAAGCCTTAGGATGGGGACTGGTGGCCAGTGGAAACAATCCCATGATTACAGGGTTGGACTTTCAGCCCACCCCCATCCTCCAGGGAATGGGGAAAGTAGAGATGCAGTTCAAGCATGCGACCAATGATTTAATCAACCATGCCTACATAATAAAATCTCCGGGTGATGAGGCATGGAAAGCTTCCCAGCTGGTGAACATATCAATGTACTAGAAAGGCAGCACCCCAACTCTGCTAGGAAAGGAGCTGTCTCCCCCACAAATGCCCTAAAGCCACGTCTCTACCATATAGCTGTTCCTGAGTTACATCCATTATAATAAAACTGCAGTTGTAAGTATAGCACATGCTTGACGTCTGTGAGTCATTCTAGAGAATTATCAACCCTGAGCAGGTACCCAAAGTAGAGTTCAGGTGGCTTAGGGACACCCAGAACTTTTGGGTGTCATGTGAAGAGGGGAGAGTCTTGGGACCAAAGCCCCTTCACCTGTGGGGTTTGTTCTAACTCTGGACAGTGTCAAAACCCAACTGGACTTCCGCTTCTGGGAAGATGGAATAGATGTATTTTTCCCTATTCCTCCCGTTAAGCACAACTAAAAACCCTGGGCATTGTGTTTAAAACAAACAAGAGGCCTGAACAGTAGAGAGAAGAAGGTAGACTGGCTAGGGACTCGGATCCACAGAACACCACAGTGGCATCAGTGGAGAGCACATGGGAAACCTGTGTTTCCACCCACCCCTGACAGGAATGCATCCTCTTCCCACGGGGAGGTGTCGGAGGGTGTCCGAGAGAGTCCTGGCCTTTCCAACTGAGAAATCACTCATCATCTCAAGCACCAGGAAGATCTCAAACTAAGTGAAAAGAGACACTTAATGGGTACCAACACTAACATGATAGAGGAGTTAAAATGATCTAATAAACATACGAAAGCAGCCCCTGGAAAAATGTTTCAGTGCACAATTAAAACTTGCTTGAAACAAATGAAAAAAAAATCAGTGTCTAAGCAAAGAAATAGAAGATGTAAAGAAGAATCAGACAGAAACCTCTGAAGTGAAAAATGCAATAACTGGGGCACCTGGGTGGCTCAGCTGGTTGAGCATCAGGCTCCCAATTTCAGTTCAGGTCATGATCTCACCATCATGAGTTGGCTTCCACACTGGGCAAGGAGCCTGCTTAAGATTTTCTCTGTCTCTCCACCTCTGCCCCTCCCCTGCTTGTGTTCTCTCTCTCTCAGTCAAAAAAAAAAAAAAAAAAAAAAAAAAAAAAAAAAAAGCAATAACCAAAATTAAAGAGCTTAATGAATGAATGAAAATAGCAGAATGGAGGAAAGAATCCATGAACCAGAAGACAGAACAACAGATATTACCCAATACCCAATCTAAACAACAAAAAGAAAAAAGATTGGGAAAAAAAAAAAAAAAAAACAGAACAAAACAAAACTGCTTGGGGGATTTGTATGACGATAACAAAAGTCTAACATTCATGTTGTCAAAATCTGGGAAGAAGAAAAAGACTTTCCCAGCAAGGCCCACATAACTAATCACTCTATCCCCAAGATATCACTCTTATTCACTCACCTCCGTAACTACAGGATACAGTCAGTCTTGCCCAGACCACTCTGAGTTCCCCATTTCTCTGTCTTTTCTAGAATAAGTCCTAATTTCCACTCTCTATTCCCCATTTTTTAGAACTCCATTCTTAATGACCTTCCCTAAGAAATCTGTTTTTGGCTAATAGATAAACTAGGTCATTTTCATGAATCCTTAAGAAACAGCATCTAAAAGCACTTTCAAAAAGTAGGTAAGTTAGCATATCAGGTTTGGCTGGGTGAAAACAGAAAGGTCAAATGATAGCAATCTGCTTCTTCCTCAATGAAAGCCTTATGTAGGCAGTCCAGGGCCAGGGGTGCAACTCTTGAGTCATCAGGGATATGGGCTTCTCTTTCTGCTTCAATATGCTAGCATTGGTTTCCAGCCTCATTATCCAGGATGGCCGCAGTGGTCAAGCCATCTTGTGTGAGTCCCAGGCAGCAGGAAGAAACAAAGAGGAAAAGGAAAGGAGAGGGGGGTGTGGTGGGCTGTCCTCACCTTCAGAAGCCTTCCTATAATCCCACACTACCCCTCCCTTTCCCCACTGGCCAGAACGTAGTCACTGGGCCATACTTAACTACAAGGAGGGTTAGGAATGCAGAATTACATGGGGGGGATAAAAAGACAATATATTTGGAGAAGGAATGGACAGTCTTTGCCATGGCCAGTTTCAAAAATATTTTGAACCACAAAAATATTAATGATTGCACAACAGCCCCAAGTTGAGAACATAAAGGATTAGAATTGGAGACACTGGCAGGAATTCATGCTTGGTTTAATATGAATACAGCTGGAAACATACAGAAATATTTATCAATGTCTGCATGTAACACAGGTTAGTACACACACACACACACACACACACACACACACAGTAGGTCTCTCTACTCTGTAGCTGATAGGGCCCAGAAACGATGACACCCCAGCAGCAACAAACACACCCAGGCCCAAGATCTTGGCTCCTTTACACCACCACTTAAAACAACCAAGGGCTCCTTAGAGAAATGGTTGATTGGGTAATTCTAGGAGACACAGGAGATGAGCCTGGAGCATCTTCTGGTGCCAGAGTGTCACGGAGTGCTCAAAAAGGGGGTGGGGGCACAATGCCGGGGGTAGGACCAAAGCAGGAACAATGTGACCAAAAAATAAATAAAATAGTAGTGGCTTACAACCCAAGGTATAAAATAGATATTCCTAAGTCCACACTGATATAAATAATTAGATATGTAGGAAGAAGAGCCAGACCTCCTGTGCAGGAAAATTTCAAATCGCTTAGGTAGACACCCTGCCCTTAGGGAAATGGAGCGTAACTCCCCAATCTTGAAGTGTAGGCTACGCACACTGACTTCCTAAGACAAAAGCACAGAGGAAGAAATAAGAGTAAGTTTATGAAGAAGCCTGATAAACCCTACGTCGATAAGGTAAAGATTAACAAGAGTGAGAAGCCCTGTGGACAGCTGGTACCCTTGATACTGGGCTGATGTAAGTGGCACTTTACCTCTGTGGCCTTCCTTCTGGAAATGTGCTGCCCCAGTTTAACCAGGAAAAAAAAAACACCAAATCAATCCCAAATGGAAAACATTCTACAAAATACCTGACCAGTATTCCTATCAAGATTATAAACAGTAAGTCTGAGAAGTCATAGCCAAGAGGACTCTAAGGAAATAGGATGAGTAAGTGTAATGCGGAGTCCTACAATGTTCATAGCAGCACTCTCCACAATAGCCAAAACGTGGCAAGAGCCTAAGTGTCCATCAACGAATGGATCAAGAAGATGTGGTTTATCTATACCATGGAATACTACATGGCAATGAGAAAGAATGAAATCTGGCCATGTGTAGCAACATGGATGGAACTTGAGGGTGTTATGCTGAGCGAAATAAGTCAGGCAGAGAAGGACAGATACCATATGTTTGCACGTATAGGAGGATTAGGAGGAACTTAACGGAGGACCATGGGGGAGAAAAGGGGGGAAATGGTGGGGGAGAGAGAGGGAGGCAAACCATGAGAGACTCTTGAATGCTGAGAATAAACTGAGGAATTATGTGGGTGGGGGAGAGGGGAAGGGGGATGATGGGCATGGAGGAGGGCACTTGTGGGGATGAGCACTGGGTGTTATATGGAAACCAATTTGACAATAAACTATTTGTTAAAAAAAAAAAAAAAAAAAAGATTACAAGTCTAAAAAGAAAAGTGTAATGTAGGGTCCTGGAAAAGAAAAATGACATTAGGGATAAACTGAGGAAACACAGATAAAATATGAACTTTAGTTAATAATAACATATCCACATTGGTTGATTGATCGTGACAAATACACCACATCCATGTAAAAGTGTTAACAGTAGAGGAAAATGGGTCTGCAGTTTATAGGAACTCTCTGTGACAACTCTGTAGCCTAAAACTGTTCCAAAATTGAAGATTTATTTTTAAAAAATAAAAATGAACTGAGCAGGACACCCACCCAGCTGGTGTCTGAGAATTGTTGTTGGAGCATCTAATCTAATTCAGACTGAGCCCCCATTTAGCTAAAATATTCTGAAGCATCACTGTAGCTTTCTGCCTAGGATTTATTTTCAGAGTATCTTGTGTGTCAGGGTTGAAAAGTGATGGGAGAATTACCCACTTGTACAGGGAAGTAAGGAAGTAAGGAGGTGGGAGGTAAGGAAGGAAGGAAAGTGGGATGTGACATGAATGTCTGACACTGACCAGAGTCAGAGGAGAGGGAGTAATGAAGCTGAACCCAGAAGCCAGACTTGGGGTTTCCTGGCTCTGTGCCATTGCTGAGTCACAGGCCTTTCAGAGCCAGGTATGGGTGCACTCAACCCAGAACTCCTGTAATGTGCCCTTCAATTCAAAGGACTTAGTGGGTCTCAATGATCCACATGGAGAGAATGGCATCAGGCAGAAACAATGAAAGACTTCCTGACCTTGGAGAGCTTGAAGAACAAGAGAAGACTTGTTGAAAAACTCATTTTAAATAAAATTCTTACAAACACACAAGTCACAGGTGGTAGACCAGTAACAAAGTAGCGTAAACACAGAGAACACGAAGAGAGATATCTCTATCCTCAAAGTACTAACCATTCCAATTCACTGTTACGAGACAATATCCCAGAAGCAAATGAACAGGTGCACAGCCATTCCTCAACCTTTAAAAACCTACCAACGAGAAATACTGTACTGTTTTCACCTGCTCTCAGCCCTGCAAAAATCAAGTTCAAAGAGCCTCTCTCCCAGCCTTGTGGATGAGGCTCAGCTTTCCACATGCAGCTCAACAGCATTAAGGGAACAAGCTCAGATGAAGGTCCAATTCTAAGACGCAGATCACGTGGACTGTGAAAGTGTTAACTTCCTGAAGGCTTTGGGTTAGTTTGCTCTTCCACACGTGTAGTAAACATTCAGTCATTAACCAGAACTAAAAAGAGAGCCACACAGGACTTGGCTACCAGTGATTATTCTAACGGGTGGAGTCACTGTAAATGCAATGTACACAATACAGGGCTCTATCGAGGCACGTGACCCTATCATCCCGGACATGGATCATCAGACTGCTGCCGTTGCATTCCAGCAGTGGCTTTTGCAAACTATTTCCTCATGGCGTGGAAATGAGATGACACGCAGTTCATGTGAGAAAGCAACCCTCAGTGCTCTGGGGAGACAGCCTGCTTGCGAGCCAGTATGTGGATCAAGTACAGTGATTGCTTAGTGATGTCTGCCACAAGTGCCGGAGTGAGAAGCAGGGATATTGTAGAATATTAACCAGCCATTTTTAATGATACGACATTTTGGAGCAGTATGGACTTTTATTTATACCTAATGCAAGTACGTGGAAAAAATGATTTTAAAATGTTACTGGTGACTACCATTACATGAGAAATTGTATGACCTCGGACAAGGACTAGGGAGAAGTCAGCAAATAGAAAAGAGGACCGCGCTCCTATGTGGCTGGTGCCTGTGAATCCCAGACTCCCTGTGCGGGAATTATTCTGCCTTTATGGGGAAAAAATACACAGACAACAACTTACTCTCCAGTCTCTAAGTTGCTTTATACTATCCTACTATGGGGTCTAACTAACTTTTTAGAAGTTTATCATTATCTTTTGATCATAAAAATACTCCGAGAAGTAGAAGTATAGGGTTTTTTAATGCAACGGAAGTCACCATGTGCTTAGAGCAGACTATCGTAACTGGAGACAGAATGGATAGCATGGTGGCTGGGGTTAGTAATACCATGCTGGAACCTGGAACCTGCCGAAAGCGTGGACTGTAAGTGTTCTCACCACACACACAGAAGGATTAGGAATAGTTAACTGGCTTGATCGGGGACACCATTTCACAAGGTACAGGCATATCAAAAGATCACACTTCATTCCTTACATCTACATAATGATTATTTGTCAATCATATCTCAGTAAAGCTGAAAAATAAAAGTACTCCATTCTCACTGCAGAAATATGGAAAGACACTGAAGTCTTTTCAAAGAAACAGAACACCCACAATGCCGACACCCAGAAATAAATCAGCAATTATTACACCAAAGTGCCAGGCAGTCTAGGAGATGGACATGGGGCACATCTGAGCACGTCAGGAAAATGTTTTTAAAAGCTTTCGATTGTTGACTTAACCATCAGTACTCCTGCACTTTCAAACTTTATGTAACTTTACAAAGTCTGCTGATAAGCGGGTGCCTGGGAGGCTCAGTCGGTGCAGCCGGCTCCTGGTTTCAGCTCAGGTCCTGATCTCATGGTTTGCAGGTTCAAGCCCCATGCCTGCTTGGGATTCTCTCTCTCCCTCTCTCTCTCTCTCTCCCCCTCCCCCACTCGTGATTTTTCTCTCTCTTAAAATAAACATTTTTAAAAATATTTTATGTAAAAAAAAAAGTGTGTTGATAAAGTCATTTCCTGCTAAGGAGCACCTCCCCCTTGCTTACTTTGTATTAGGAACCACCAGTTTATCCACAGCTTTCTGAGGCACTGCCCACACGTACATAATAAGGTACATTGTTCTAACGGACACCCCTGGAAGGACTGGACCTCCCACAGAGTCCGAATGTGGGAAGGGGGAGCCTAGCTTATGGCCACCGCCCGCCCCCTTGCACAGAACACACCAGCCCCCGGGGGGTGCGCACTAGACGTGCAGACACACTCACAGGTCGTAGGAGAACTTCCTCTCCAGGTTGGTCTGGTTCCTCTGAAACTGGAGCACATCCTGCTGCAGCCTGCCGTAATTCTTCTGCAGGGCCTTCAACTGGTCTGAGCCAAGAGGAGCACCCAGAATCGTGCAGGTCACAGGCACAGCCGGCGTGACAACAGCGGACGCATGGGAACACAGCGGGCGGTGGCACACGGGACAGCAGGGAAGGAGAGAGGTTGAGGACATTCCAGAACCATGGAGAAGCCCTGGAAATCAGCAACCCAACCCGAAGCTGCACCTTCATTTCTTTCCAAACCTCTCACTTAAGTCTCCTTCTGGACCTCTGACCCTTCAAATGCATCAGGGGGCTCTATTCACTTGTTTCTGTCTTGGACATCCTAAACCCTGAGCTGTCCCACAAGGTGACACATGTCACTGTGTCCCTGGCAGACTCATTCAGCCTGTGAAACACTGATTTCGACATGTGCTCAGAGAGGGAGTCCCTCATGGTGAACCCCGACCTCGGCCACCAGACCCTCCCCACCAGAGGCCCCTCCTGTGACTCTGCCAGGCCAGTGACTCCTCTAAGCATCCGGACCCCATCTGGGACACAGCAGCTCTCCTTGAGGAAACGCACCAGTCCATCCCTGCTGCCCTGCCCTTCGGCTCCTAAAAGCCTTGCAGAAAAAAAAAGCAGCCCCTGACAAAGCACCAGTCTGGGCAGGAAAGGGAAGCTGCCATGGAGGCGATAGCAGAGTGGCCAGATGGCCACCACCGGGGCCCGGGCCGCAGCCCTTGATGCACACCGGCATCCTGGAAGTCTGTCCTCATCCCTCCGTATCTACATGGCTCTCCGCGGGGGAGAATAAAATTAAATAAAAGCAAAGGATTCCATGAAATGCTGAAACACACTGCAACAAGGATCAGTCTTGCAAGCATTTCCAGAACATGCTCAAAGACTTAAAACTGTACGGCTGCAGAACCACAGTGGATGGCTGAGGCTGAGGCAGGGGACTGACTACGAAGGGTTGGGGGGCACCTCCTAGAGGGACAGGGCCTGGTCTCAACTCTGGTGGTCAAGTGTACCTTCAAAGGGTACACTTTACTGAGTAAATCACACCTCAGTAAACCTCACTTTAAAAAAAAATTCCTGGGGCACCTGGGTGGCTTAGTCGGTTAAGCGTCCGACTTTCGCTTAGGTCATGATCTCGCGGTTCGCGGGTTTGAGCCCCGCATCGGGCTCTGTGCTGACTGCCAGCTCAGAGCCTGGAGCCTGTTTCAGTCTGTGACTCCCTCTCTCTCTGACCCTCCCCTGCTCACGCTGTCTCTCTCTCTCCTAGAAATAAATAAAAATTAAAAAAAAAAAAAAATTCCTGGGGCGCCTGGATGGCTCAGTGGATTAAGCATCTGACTTCCACTCAGGTCATGATCTCACAGCTTGTGAGTTCGAGTCCCGCATAGGCACATAGCCCAGAGCCTGCTTCGGATTCTGTGTGCCTCTCTGGCTCTGCCTCTCACCCACTCATGTTCTGTCTCTACGAATAAATAAAACATTAAAAAGAAATTCCCATTATCAAACTGAGTATGGGGCAAGGGAACACTGTTTGGCAATGAAAGGAATAAAAATACTGACATCCAGGGGCGCCTGGGTGGCTTAGTCGGTTAAGCGTCCAACTTTCACTTAGGTCATGATCTCACGGTTCGTGGGTTCGAGCCCTGCATCGGGCTCTGTGCTGACTGCCAGCTCAGAGCCTGGAGCCTATTTCAATCTGTGACTCCCTCTCTCTCTGACCCTCCCCTGCTCACGCTCTCTCTCTCTCTTAGAAATTAAAAAAAAAAAAAAAAAAGAATACCAACATCCAGAACACGGATGAATCTGGAAAGGCCAGACAAGACGAGGCAACTCTGCAAAGGCCCCGGCAGTCAGGTGACCCACGGAACTCCGTGTGACCCTGCGTCTCTCCTCCTCAGATCCTTAGAACCAGAGTCAGAACTAGGATTCTAGCCCCACCCCGTGCAATGCCCCGAACTACAATGTAAGCCACGTCGGTAAACCACATTTTTAAGAACTAAACCAGGTGTAGTATGAACTTTAACAAAACACCTGATTTAACTCGACAGCTATGCAACATTATCATGCCAACACAGAATGGATATAAAAAATTATGAATATTTTATATTCTCTCCCTCATGCTATGTGCTGGACAATCATAGCATGTCTCCATGCAGACGTTAAATCCACCCTGGGAATTCTGGATGTGAAGTTAGCTTTCACAAAATTTACCCTTAAAAAGTAGACCCAAAAACAGTGTTCTCAATAATGGAGTCAAGTTTCAGTTTTAAGCTTACTGAAAATTAAACAAAAATGTCAATTCCAGTTCCTTCCCATGAGCCACATTTCAAGTGTGCGCTGGCCACACGGTTCTTGGACACCACTCTGGATACTGTGGCTGCAGACGAACCTTTGCATCCCAGAGGCAGAACTGAGGGTCAGGGGGATGGGAGTAGTCTCCTACCCCCTGCAAAGATCAGCCCTCGAGGGGACCAGTGCTCCATGATTTCCCATTCTCCAGGGCCATCCGGGCTGTAAGCACTCCAGTCCCAGCAGAAGGGAGAGCCGAGCACAGAGGGGCTCACCCACTACTGCCCCCACTGCTGCTTCATTGGGCCTGACAGAAACCCAGCCTTGAGTGCCAAGCTGAATCAGGGCAGCAAAGAAATGGAATTAAGTTGGGCTGGATAATTTTTACAATCTTCTTAAAGAAACTCTGAATTGGGGGCGGCCCCACTGAAAAAAATCCTATATATGCCATGTATGTATGTTATATATATCACATGACATATGAAAGGTGACCTTCTCAACCTATCACAAAGTGAGAATCTGAATTCTTCCGTACTTAATATTATACAGAGAGGTAAAAGTTAGCACCTGAGGTCCCTGGGTGGGGGAAAAGACCTGTATTTTGGAACACTGCTGGGAGTATATGACAGCAAAGCCCCTTGGGCATAAAGTTCCTCTTAGGAATGTAACGGACACCACCTACTCCCCCACAGGTTCCCCTCAGGAATTTGACAAAAGTCCTAACTAAAAACAGGTAGACCATAAGACATATGACCCACAAGGAACGGCCTGGCCACAGACCACCCCTCACATGATGGAAACGAGCCAGTCAGGAATGGACCAGCCCTAGAGCTATCCAGCCAGTAAGGGTAGGACCTGAGAAGGAACAAGGGGTCAGGAAGGGGAGGGCTGACCAGAACCTTATTAAACAAGCACCCTTGCATCAGTCCTCAGGCACTCACTTTCAAATGTCCCCTCTCCGTGAAGACAGCTTTCCTACTACTCTTCCTTTCTAATTTTATGCTCTAATAAACTTTTGCCTGCTGCTCATTTTATTTTGTGTCCACCTCTTCAAAGTGGGGAGACAAAGAACTCCGGGTATTGAGGCAAAAAAAAAAAAAAATCCTACAACAGTAACACCTTGTAATGTGTTCAACAACATTTTTGAAAGGAAAAGCTCTTTAAGGAACTATAGTTTAGCAAAAAGAGTACACCAAACATTACTCAATTTGAGGCACCTGGGTGGCTCAGTCACTTCAGTGTCTGACTTTGGCTCCGGTCATGAGCTCACAGTCCATGAGTTTGAACCCCACATTGGGTTCTCTGCTGTCAGCTCAGAACCTGCTTTGGATCCTCTGTATCCTCTCATTCTGCCCCTCCCCCACACTCACTCTCAAAAATAAACATTAAAAACAAAACAAAACAAAAAACCAGATTACTTGGTTACTTGTGATCTTATCCATCATTAGATTAGAATGGGAGCCACTGGCTACAGAGGAACAAGAGGGAAGGTGGGCTTTTCCTAAAAGATCTAATGTCTGGTGTTAAAGAGGGGATTAGAACTCACCTTGCAGGGTTCTGATGAGCTTCTCACCTGTGGTGATATTATTCACCAAAACCGCCTGCAAGGAAGATAAACACAAAATCAAACACCCACAACCTAACAACTTAGAAGAGCCTTGATAAGATGTCCCTACTGGAAAAAAAAGGGAGCAGTGCCCCCCCCACCCCTGCCCCCACCTCCCAGCAGCTATTGGGAGGGACCCAGCAAGCCCTCTGGATGGGCACTCAGATACTTCTGCAGCCCAAAAAGGAGTTCACATGTTGGCAGGTTTGCTTTGTGAACAAGAGCCTGTAACCAGAGCAAGGGGTAAATGGATACTCCTGCTCGACTTGGACTCCAGGACGTGCTCCCCTCCACGGTCTCCGGACTTTCTCTGGGGAAACCCAGGTGCAGCCACAGGTCAGACCACACCCTGAACTAGCAGAGGAGAGGAAGGGATGGGGGGGGTGGACAGGAAAGAGGGTTCACAGGAGGGTACAGCAAACTGGGAAGGCTGAAAGCGGAGGAGGAGGAAGAACCACACAGGGCTCAGGAGAACAGTGAAAACTGAGGACACAGTGAGGGAAGGAGTGAGGAGTGTAATGTAACACACGACCCTCGAGTGAGAGCGGCTGACCACTTTCACCAAGCACCCTTCTCCTCATCTACCCGCTCACTTACTCTCCACACCAGGTTCTAAGGGATGGACAGCAGAGGATCCCATTTTATTTTTTAACTTTTTTTAATGTTTTATTATTTCTAATAAAGAGAGAGAGAGCAGGAGCAGGGGAGGGTCAGAGAGAGAGGGAGATACAGAATCTGAAACAGGCTGCAGGCTCTGAGCTGGCTGCCAGCACAGAGCCCGACTCAGGGCTTGAACCCAACGAACCGTGAGATCATGACCTGAGCCAAAGTCGGAGGCTTAACCGACTGAGCCACCCAGGCACCCTGAGTATCCCATTTTAAAGGACAGGAAACTGAGGCACAGACTGATGAGAGACTCAAGGCCATGAGGCTTTCTTCACGGCAAACAGGCAATGCCTAAACCCATGCTCCAGCAGGCCCGATCCAGAAAGCTAGCTGGTGATCACTGCTTGCCAAATTGGGATCTAAGCCGCCAGCAGGATACCAGGCTCGCGGGCTGTACCAGTGCTAAAAGCAACGGAAAACCTGAAAAAGAGGGGACTAGAATATTAAATGGTAGAGCACATCACACAGGTAAGGTGTTGTTTTGCACACACACACACAGAGCTGTGCACCGGGCCACTGTGTGAACGTGTCCTACCGCATCTAATCAACGAAGTCTGCAAGACCCCACACACACAGGGGACAGGCTGCCCATATCTTGGACACACCTGTCGGCCTGCTTATGGTGGATGATGACAGCCCTGCCACCTCCTGCGTCTGGCTTCCTCCCGGACCTGTGTCCATCCTTTACTCTTTCTTGGGCTTGGACAGGGCTTTCTGCAGTACGGGGGTGTGCTCCCGGAAACGAAATGGAGCCAAACGAATCATGTTTATTTTGGGAGTTCTGAAGACACAGAACATTTTCTGGCACAACAGGAAGGAAGTCACAGTGATGGTATCTGGACAATTAATCTCTCCAGGAGAGATCGCCCTGAGGGGTGTTTGCAGATACTCTGGTAGGTGCGGGAAAGAAGAGAGCTCTGAGTGGCAAGTTGTGAGGGAGGGGGGAGGCTCCCACAGCAGGGAGTCAGATTTGCACAGCTCAGAAAAGCCTTGCCCAAGTTCAGCTGCAGACATGAAAGACGACCACAGCATCGCTGCTGCAGTCCCACTTCTAACTCTACAGCCAAAACAACTCAGAGCAGAATAGTTAAAAGATATCCGTATCCCCGTGTTCATAGCAGCGCCATTTACAACCACCAAGAGCTAGAAGCCAGCCACCTTCGAGAGACTGAATACAGAACATGTGGGATCTACATCTAATGGAATATCATGCGGCCTTGAAAAAAAAAAGAAAAAAGGACTGCTATATGCTGTCACAACATGGGAGAACCTGGAGGACAGCATGCAAAGCAAAATCAGCTAGCTGCAAAAGGACAGATATGGTTGGGTTCTATTCATGTGCTGTGTCTACAGCAGTCACAGGAACAGAAAGAAGAAAGATGGCCTCCCCGGGGCTGGCAGAGGGGAAGGGCATTAGCAATTAATGGGTCCAGAGTCCCTGCGCTGCAAGGTGAGGGTTAGAGTTGGACTGCACAACAGTGGAACTGTACACTTGAACTTCCCATCTGGCACAGGTATGGATACCACCTTCCCTCCAAACAGTGGTGCTGACACAAAACACAGAAAGAGGGGCGCCTGGGTGGCTCAGTCAGTTAAGTGTCTGACTTCGGCTCAGGTCATGATCTCACGGGTCGGGAGTTTGAGCCCCATGTCGGGCTCTGCACTGACAGCTTGGAGCCTGGAGCCTGCTTCAGATTCTGTGTCTCCCTCTCTCTGCTCCTCCCCAGCTCATTCACTCTCTCTCAAAACTAAACATTAAAAAAAAAAAAAATAGAAAAGGAAAAGGGGCATTTAAGAGACTGCACCCTGATGATCTTCAAAAGCAGATCTCTCGTGGCTAAACCATTTCTATAAAAATCATGGCATTTTCACTTGTTCCTTCTCCACTCACTCCCCTTGGCCCTACTCCAAGAAATCCACATTGGAGTCTCCAACTACCTGAGGGATGAGAAAGGCTTAGAGACTGCTGTGACCCCAACTACCTGAGATCTCTGTGTCCCACGTGACTCTATTCTTCCTAAGAAAAGATATTTTAGTTCTCTTCCCCCGCCTGCTTACTGTGCATGGAAAAGTACAGACTCTGCCCAACTAAATGAGCAAAGGATCATAAAACATCATCAAGATATTTTATGTGCAGTTTTATATTTATTGAAAATCTCCTTAAATCATTTATGGGAAACAATGAAAATGCTTCTAGCTTTTTGGAGATTCAATATAAAGCAAAAAAGCCTGCATTAGATAATATTATTTTTTAAATGAATTACATATGCTACTCCAAACAACCCAATTGTTTTTCCCATTTTGGGTGGGTGTGTGTGTGTGTGTGTGTGTGTGTGTGTGTGTGTGTGTGTGTACTGTCCCCTGGGACACTCAGCAGCAGATGAGGAGGCAGGAAGTGCCACCAGAATGTAACTGGAGACTGAACTCAGAAGAGCTCCAGATGAATCACCCACATACAAGTTAATCATAACCATTCTATTCTGGGAAATGAGTAGATGTGATCAAATTATTTCTACATTAGATTCCTAGAAAAATAAGCTCAACATTTCATAGTAAGTTTTCAAAGTAGTAATTTGACAATAAATGCTATCTCTCTAGAAGCTCCATAAGACATGAATGACTATCTTTAAAATCCTAACTTTTGGAACACTCACTGCAAGCGTGATGCAGATCACATAATAAATGAGAAAAGGTGACTTCTGCCATCTGTACTTGGCTGATTAAAATAATCTGCTTTGAGGGTTGCCTGGGTAGCTTAGTCAGTTGAGCTACCGACCCTTGATCTGGGCTCAGGTCATGGCCCCAGGGTCTTGGGTTTGAGCCCCACATTGGGGTTGAGCATGGAGCCTGCTTGGGATTCTCTCTCTCATTCATTCTCTCTCCCCGCCCCGCCCCTCCCTTGCTCTATCTCTTGAATAAAAATTTAAAAATAATTAAAAACTTTTTAAAAAGAAAGAAACAAGGGCAGGCAGAGAGTGAATCCAATGGCAGAGAAGCGCCAATTACTTATTTATGGTACCCTGCTAAGATTACACTCTCATACCAGCACCACTCACATCACCAGCCAAGTACGGCCTGCCACCCTGACCACCTCACACCCACGGCCCCTGTGGGCCACATGCTAGGGGGACAGGCCTGTGGGAAGCACGCCGCCTTCCGGCCAAGAGGCCACAAGAATTCCAGAACTGAGCACACCTTCCTGGTGTATGCACCAGGTACCCAGCACGAGCCCCAGGCCAGAGGCACCAATGTGGACCATCCACACTGCTACCTGGCTCCCCAGACAGGCCTTCTGCAAACATCAGAAGGAGGGGCCGCAGGGACATGTGACGCAGCAGAGCAGAGCTGCGTCCCAGCCCACAGGGAAGGCCCTCACAGAGGCTGGGTCTAAGCACCACGTGCAAGACCTACTCTCAGGAGTTAGAGCCAGGACCCCAAAAAGTATAGGAAAGTCCAGGAACCTGCAGCCAGACCTGATTCCAGGGGCAGGTGGCAGGGGCACAGGAGTGAGTGTCCGTGCGTGCATGTGGAGAGGGGGACAGACTGAGACAGGAACATCAGACGTCAAAGGGAACATCAAAGGGACAAACACCATGCGATCCCACTTAGGTGAGAAGTGTAAGCGCAGTCAGACTCAGACACACACGGGAGGTACGACCGCCACTGCCAGGACTCGGGGGAGGGGGGAGGGAATGGGCGTTCATGTTTAGTGGGGACAGCTCCACTGGGGACAACGAGAACGCTCCGGAGGCAGGTGGCGCAACGGGTGCGCAGCAGTGGGAGCGTGACTAACGTCACTGCACTGTGCATTTAAATACGGTTAAAATAGTCGTTTTATCTCCTGTGCATTTCAGCACAATAAAAAACAACAGCAAACCCCCAGAAAGAGCACGAGGCAGGGAATGAGTGGGCAAGGGCGTGGATGCCAGAGAGCAGGAGTGGGCGAGGGGCGACACGAGACCAGGGGTGAGGGTGCGCATTCCGGGGGTCAGAGGATGACCCGGCCAGTGGGGGCTGCGGGGGGGGGGGCCGAGAACGCTGGCCGGGAGCACCGGTTGGATGGGTGCGGCTGGCCGGTGACCGACCC